AAGTCATTGATACACACCATATACACATTTGAAAATGTAACACAAAAATAGTGCATCTGTGTCATGTATTAAGGTTAGAGTATTTTATAATCTCATCTGGATTGTGGTAATGAACCGTCAGGAATGGAAGCAGCAGCCTATCTATCCAGCGAAAATCGTGCTGCATCAGTGACTGTCGTTGGGAACACGAAAGTACCATTTGAAAGGAGTCTTGGACAAGCTGTTGGAGAGAGGATCCAGAAGCTGTTTGAGGAAAATGGGGTTAAATTTGCCAATGAAGTCAATGTGAAGGAGTTCAGAGGAGAAGATGGGGAGGTGAAGGAGGTGAGGATTAAAAATGTTGGTTTTGTGATTCTCTTATCTTTTTTTTGTTCATATTATTTTGTTTCTTCATCTTTTTGTTTTGGAATCTTTCTATGCTTTTTGTATATCTCTAGTTCCTTTGTTTGTTGTAGTCGGTGTATCAGTTCAGTCTTTTACTGTTCATCTTATGTTTAAAATCTGTGTTATAGTTTAAGAAAGTTCAATGCAAATGCAAATTAGGTCTGTGTGAGTCAGCCATGAATTTCATGTGTAATAATTTTGTTTACAGGTTGTATTAGATAATGATGAAATTATACCAGCTGATGTTGTAGTGACGGGAGTAGGAGTTGTGCCGGAGACCCAGTTCCTGTCAACTTCTAGTGTCAGGCTTGATGAACGAGGATATGTTCCAGTTAATGAGGTAGGCATATTGTAATGAAATTTGTTTTAGCTGTTAATTGCTGTTTACTAAATAGAGCAACTCTAAATGAAGGAAGAGATATGCATGAATATTTATGATTTGAGATAGTAAGCAAGTTCATGTGAACAATAAAGAAGGCAATATATGTTAGTTGCATTTGATGAAATATGCATTAACATGCTAATGTAAGTAATGAAAAACTATTGGGGGGTCTTACTTATAGTATACTGTTTCACCTAATATTAGAAGCAAAGGAATTATATGTACTCCATATATATTCATTAAGTTGTTATTGATTCCTCCTAGTGTGTGTGTGTGTATATATATATATATATATATATATATATATATATATATATATATATATATATATATATATATATATATATATATATATATATATATATAATACTTTTTTATTGTTGTTATTATTTTTTTTTTTAGAGAGAGAGAGAGAGAGAGAGAGAGAGAGAGAGTAAATAAACTGAATTCAGAGAGAGAGAGAAGAAAAAACACTAAAATCTAATTACAAGCTTTGATACCAATATATCATTATTTTTTCCCAGCACTTGGAGACCAACATAGCTGATGTGTACTGTGGGGGTGACATAGCCTCCTTCCCACTCTTCCTTCATGATGGGGAGAAAGTGGCCATAGGTCACTGGCAGGTTGCTCATGGCCATGGTACCACAGCTGCCCTCAACATGCTGGGGAAAGCCACACCAGTCAAATCTGTGCCATTCTTCTGGACTGTCCTGTATGGAAAGAGTCTTCGGTATACAGGTAAGTTACCAAGAATATAGCAGTGGTGGTCATCAGGGTGTTTTTGGTTGTGATTTTGGAAAATGAAAGGTTTGTTTACATTGTGATGTGATAACTGGAGTTGATGATTGCATTGTTATGTGTATATGAACATATTTCAGGAAATGTACAGGGTTATGAGATGGGATTCTAAAATTTTCACTTTCCATACCTCAAAGTATAAAACAAGAAATAGTGCAAGAATCAGAATTGAGGGGATTGTATAAATCTTTCATTTCTAACAGATACTAAGTTGTACTTGTTTCCGTACTAGATAATGGATGAACTAAGAACAAAATGGAAACATGTGAGTTACTAAAACCACCGAATATGCCAAATGCATGGTTTACTATATTAATAATTTCTGTTGTAACTATTTTGTTCTTGTTGATCCTCATTGACCCACAGTTCTGTACTGAGAGCAATATGCATGAGAGTTTATCTACATTATTCTCTTGCTATATGTTCAGTATTTTGTTTAGAGATATTTATAGAGATTATGGAAAATTGGAATATGAAATCATCATAGCACATATATTGTAATTTGAAGAGATATATTATTAATTTCTGTCAAAAATGCATTATTACCTTGTGAACTATGTAACTCTCCAGGTTGAAGTAAGGCAGGGAAATCTTTCATAGTAAAAAGTTAGCCTATCATTTGCATTTTGGAAAGCAGGATTGCTCTCCACTAACATACAAATGTGTAGCCATTTAGGATATATTTGCTGCAATCATCAGTATTATAAACTCCTGCTCTGTGTATCTTTCTGATAGATCTCCAAACTTGTTTAGGAGCTTGCATGCTTAAAACTTAGAAAGATAAGATAGGCATGATTGATTGGCTTATTATTTTCTGTGCCTTTATATCCCCTTTTTACTAGATTATGTAGGTTGTAAGATTTTAGGGCAAGTTGAGAGGGAAAAAAATTTGATTTAGAAGAATGAAAATTGAGTTAAGCCTGAATTGGAATTTTAATTCCATATACAGAAAATAGATATTTTCTCTCATTTTGAAAGTTGATAATGCATATCCTATATGTTCATGAAAATCAGAATTTTAATTTTGAAAGTTTGAGATTATTGAATGATTTTGTGAATTATTGGTAATGAATAGGGATAGATGTATTTGTTTAACCCTCAAGTTCTATTATGCTGTAGTTGTGCCAAACCATTTCCTTCAGCTGCTGTCATATCATCCCCACATTCATTGTTGTGATTAATAAGTTCATAGAGCTTGGATAGGCTTGTGCTAGCCTGAATGAATATGAGTAGTTATATCCTTATAAAACTTTTGGTACTTGCATAACCAGTAAGACAAATTTCACTTTTTTTCAAGCTTTTCACATCAATGCTAGAATATATGACTTCTAACCTATACTCTCTTTTCCTTTTAGGCCATGGGATGTATGATGACATCCTGATAGGAGGAGACTTAGAAAACTTGGCTTTCATTGCCTATTACTGCAAGGGAGATCGTGTGGTGGCTCTGGCCAGCCTTGGTAAGGATCCTGCAGCTGCCAAATATGCTGAGATGCTAAACAGTGGGAATTTTCTCACTAGGGAAAAAGTTATTGAAGATGGAGAGGTGGCATGCAAGCTGTAATGTGATGAAATGAAGCTCAAGAAAACAAGGGAATAGATGTTTGAATGTCCACGCTTGTTCCATGTATCCTTTTGTGAGATAAGATGTAAATGTGGTGGCAAAATGCTGTTGCCATTGTATGGTTCTTGGTGTAGTGGGTAATGATTGCTATATGTTATGCATTACAGTTTATTAATGTGTACTTAAACAGTGAAGATGTTCATTAGATATAAGTAGAACCAAAGATGTGCACTTAATGTAGTCATGAAACCAGTGATATAAGAACAGTATTTTTATTTACAAATATATTTTAAAGTGCATTTTTTATTTTACTTTTTTTTTTGATACAGTCTCTTCACAATCTGTTGGAAGTATACATTTCTGCAATGATGTGAGAATCTCTGTAGTAATTGATGTAAAATCGTTATGTATCAACTAATTATCTTATGTTGAATCTTATTTTTTTTATTTATTTTTTTTTATTTTTTTTATTTTTTTATTACTCATATCACTGAAAGTTTCAGTAGATATAAGTTATATGCATTTTCACTATATTGTAGTTTTCTGTTCATGTTTCTCTTCCATTTGTTACAAATTTGATTATGTAAATTAACCAAAGAATCTGTGAGAAGAAGAGAGCTTGTTGAAACCATTGCACTGTTAATTTTTCAGTAATGCAAAAGTTATTGACTACTTGGAAAGGATATTCTGTATTACTTTTTGTGGTAGTGGGATTCGTCCTTGACTTTTTATTACTTTTCAGTACTTTTGTTTTCTTAATATTACTTTTTAGGTCTAAATATTTTCTTTGGCATATTTAAGAAATGTCCGTAAAATAATGTTTGATTCCAAAATTGTCATAGAATTTATCTAAGACTCACTTGAACACTTAACCATAACAGATATTTATATATGATGATAATCCAATCAATGTTGAAATAGAATGTTTATTGCAATGAATCTCAATTATGTAATGACTTTGAGGCATGTAGTGCCATTTGTATTTTTCAAAGAGAAAATGTTGGGTAACCAAGGAAATGGATTAAATAATGTTTGGCAGAGAAAAAAAAAGTGAATGCCAGTTTTCCTTATCACTGATGCGAATTTACCTCCAGCAAATGTAAAACACGCTATTTTTATCCACTGCTTGCTAGGACAATAAAAGACAGCCGTTATGTATGTGGAACAGCTCAAGATTTGTCTTTGACTTCAAATGAGTTATTGACAAAAATTGACCATGAGAGAGATTTTTTGTTAAGTTTGCATTCCATTCCAGGATCCTGTATGCAGTATGCTTTTATTCTTACTTTTGAGTTGGATGCCTTTTTCTTTTTTTTTTCTCCCCTCAAGAATGCTTGTTTTAGAAATACTATGTGTCAAGTTGTAGATATGATTTTCTTTAGATGAATTAAGGATATTATTATTGTTATGATTACTGTTATTATGATTATGATTATGATTATGTATATTTTTTTTTTACATATGATACAATTTTCATTAGTGAATGATTAGATGTTGGAGTTTGTCTTAATTTCTGTGCAGACCCAGGCTAAATTGAAAAAATTCTTTGATGCAAACATACAGAAAAGCCTACCAGTACCACAAAATTTGGCTTTTTAATTTCTCCTTCTCATATATATATATATATATATATATATATATATATATATATATATATATATATATATATATATATTTTATATATTTTATCTATATGTTGTTTTTCTTTTTTTTTCTTTTTTTTTTCTTTTTTTTATTTATTTATTTATATTTTATTTAATTATTATTTATTTTTGCAAAAGTTTGTGCTCTTAAAGTAACTCTTAATTGTAACAGAAACAAATAGCCTATTATTGTGCCTTTGATGATGTTGATTTGAATTGTTATGAAATTTATGTGCTTTTGGGGGGAATAGGGAAGAGTACATCAGCAATTGTATACTGGTAAAAGAATTGAGGTAGATGATAGTAATGAATAGTAGCTAAACTAGAAGTTTTTGTTTCCAAATAGTTTATTTTGTACTATAATCATTGTGTACCTGTGTATGTTCTCCATGATACTCAGCAATTACTATTTTGCATTGATACCAACTGCAGAAGGTAATTTGATTGTGGGAAAGGATAGATAAAAGAATGCTGACAAGAATTCTCATTTGGTGACTCAGGTTTCATATATTATATTCTCAAAGAGAAAGTGGTTATAATGTTTTGATGGTAGAACGGTAGAACTTTTGTTTTAGAGGTAAATCAAGGGTAGATTGTTTATATTCATAACTATAGTTTGTTACATTTGTATGCAATTATTTTCTTACACATTCCAAACTGAAATTAAAGGGTATATTTGATGTTAGCTTTGAATGTTGAATAGATAAAAAATCACCTTGACCAATATTTGTTTTTCTTTTCCTTAAGCAAGTTTGTTGTTGTGTGTGGACGTGATCTGTGGGCACAATAGCACACAACTGTAAAGGTGATATCACAGGCAAGAAAACTGTGAAACTACTTGTCTACCATTTAATTTGCCTGTCATGTCATCTCTTCTCATGCCTCCCTTGTGACAGCTAATCATACCCAATCATATGGACAGAGCTTTACTGTCTGTATAATGTATCCACATGGTCTTTAGATGCAGGATAAAAGTCTATAAATGTCAACACCTTATTTTCTGCCGATAGTACCATATAATGCCATAAATACATCACTGCATTTGGCAAATGGTAAACTGCGTCCTCTGTCTATCACACATGCTTGACACAAAAGTGGTTTGCCTTCATAGGAAGTCAACTGCTAAAAAATTGTTCAAAACTTCACTATTGTGACAAATCCTGTTCATATATTGGTGTGTGGGGATGCACCTTGGTAAATAGGGTGTAACTGTTTATAGTAAATTTGTTTTACAATGATTTTGTTTGATTTATGGCTCACTTGGATTTGGTGTTGCTGTCCGATGTGCTAATTAATGGAATAAATGAAAACAAGTTTGTTTTAAAAAAAAATCTTATTTCCATTTTATCAACACTAACTGTCTCTCTTACTTTGCACATTCATCATAAGAGAATATTCACTGGCTATTCTTTTTCTGGAATCAATGTCTTTGGTGGAAATACAAACAAATATGACTTTGGGACAGTATACAATTTTCTCAGCTCAGCTTTAATGCAATATATTAAAAACAAACATAAACAATCAATTTTGTCTTAAATATATTAGTGTAAATTTATTACTGGATTACAGACCATATATCATTCAAACCTTAATGCATAGAAGAATTGTCCTTACTTCATGCAAAATTTAAAAGACTGAATAAAATGAATATAATATATTTTTCCTGTGCCAGATGTATTACAAAAAATAATACAATAAGAAGTATTTACTAAGCTTATTTATCCAAATGTTTATTAGCCTAAACAAGTCCTCTCATTCACTACTGTGCCAAAGGCTATATTTGTCAATTTTTTTTTTTTTTTTCTTAGAGCAAGAGAGTGAAAGAGGGATTGAAGAATACAAAAGTGATCATTCTCTTCAGCTCTACATCTCATAAAAAATGTACATTTCCACACACTAAAGGTTTTATTACTCACATTTAAAATATGTTACTTAAATCTGTTGTGAACAAGCACTTCCCTAACAATGTAACCTTGATAACATTAACATTAACATTACATTGCAAATATTCTTAAGTTACAAGTAAAGACTTGCAGCAAACACAATATCTCTCTTCAAAAGTTTTACTCCCTCAGAGAATTTATTTTCAAGGTCGATTCCTATGGCTTTTGAGGCCTGAATCATCTGTCTGAGCAGCTCCTCAAGACGGCGCATGGCTCGAATTATGCTTCCTGTAAAGATGGTAAGAATCATATAGAATGCTGAAAAAATAAGAAATGCAGAGGAGGTGGTGTGTGTGTGGGGGGGGGGGGGGTGCTGGGAGGAGGTATTGGAAGGGATAAGAGGAGGGAGAAAAGAGGGGAAGTGGGAGGAGGAAAAAAGAGGGGATAGAAAAGAAGGGAGAAGAGAAGAAAGATGTAGTGTGAGAAGAAGAGAAGAGAACAAAGGAAGTGGGAAAGATGAGAAAAGAGAATAGGAAAGAAAATGACAAGATACCATTCATCCTGCAGGAAGTAGGAATTGCATAGAAAGTGGTGATGAGTAAAATAATTGAGAAGGAGGTGGGGAAAGGCTGAAGGAGAAGGGGGAGGAAGGTACAGGAAGGAGGAGAAAAGAGAGGAAATATGCGGAGGAGAGGTGAGGAGATGGAATAAGATTTACAAAACAAATTTAAAAGAAAGGGAGTCCAAAATAAATTAAAACATACTTTCATTTTTAGTAAGTAAATTGGAATGAAAAGAAAAAAAATCTTACCTTCAAAGATTTCTGTCTTTTTGCACAGTTCCATGAATGATGCACCATTGCACCAGTCATATACAATGTCCATCAAAAATGGTCTGAACTGCTCTACATAATTTTCCTCATCAATCTGTAAATGCAAAAGAATCAAAATAGACCCCAAAAGAAAGAATAAATACTAAAAAAACAATGGCTTTGGGTAAAAATATACAAATTCATAGTTTCTAGATTAAGCAAGTTAAATCAGTTTTTTGTAAAAAGACAAAGAAACTGGAAACAAGTGATATTTATGATGCTAACATATATGTGCCCTGACAAAGACATTCCTGGAACTATAATGTAGGTAGAGACAATTGCAAATGATAAGCAAGTACATTTTTATTCCTTCTTTCTTACAATATCTAATGTTTTTTTCAGAAAATATGATGCTAGGACCTTGACTGATAGTAATTATGTGTAAGGAATAAGAGGAACTTCACAGTATCAGTTACATATATGAACCACTGGTGGCCGGTCAATAAGAAAATTAATACTTATATATTGTTTCTTGTTTATCCTTACTGACTAGTTTCAAAAGGTAAAACATGTTCTTTAATCCCCCTGGATCTGGGTGATGTGACTATCATGTCATGAAAAAATTTGGCCGAAAGATGGGTGATAGGAATTTGCTGTCATGAGAATTTGAGCTCAAGGCCAGGGTAATGGGAATGACTCGCCATGAGTGCACTAAGCTCTTGGAGGGTGATTACTCAGTGGGCATTTAGGAAGGGGCTCTTGCATTATTTCCATCAGTAAACAAGAGTGGAATGTATTATCCATGACTGGAAGAGCATTAGCTTCAGGGAAGATACTATTTCCATGCTCAGGATCCAAATCCTGCATTCAATGACTGGTGGCACAGGGTGTATTACAGAAAATTTAATATTACAAATATATCAATACAAGAAGAAGAAGAAGAAGAAGAAGAAGAAGGCTACACTCTGGCGAACCATGGCAGTGCGCCGACTTAGAGTGCATGAGTTCGGTACATCAGGCAGAATCAATCGCTCGCCGCCATGGCGTACAGCCACACGCTACTTTTTGAGCGGTTTGTTTTCACACCTAGCAGTGTTACCCATCGTGAAGGGGTTAAGCTACACACCCTGGAAAGTTGCTATTCAAGTCAGCCTAAAGCCTATATTTTGAGCCATGTGCAGGCAGCAGGTCACCTGGATCAAAATCTGGATTTATCAAAGTATACATTTAACAGAAACCACATAATACTGAGACAAGATTTTATGGTACTACAGCAAGAAGCAATAACCCCTCAAGTAAAACCACTGTCCTAGGATTTAATCAATTCCCATTCTTAAAATTAATATGGGATAAATTTCTCTGATTTTAGAGCTAGCTGAGTGTCTGGGGAAGAAGGGGCTGGAAAGGTATCACTGGGAATTTTCACTGGCAGTTCTGGCATGCATGCTATTAATTTCTTAAATGACCAGGGGTGATGGAAGTGGTTGACTTTATTTTTTCTCTATACCCTCAAGAAAAAAGACAAAGTAGGAACCAATCCTCCAGTTTCTTCACCAATGACTATTTTTGTTTTAATTGCACAATACATGCTTTTCCTATACCTTATGGTAAACTCATTTTAAATAAATTTATGAAGTTGTAAACATGAGCGTGCATTGAAAGGAGAAATTACCACATTTTTGGAACAATGTCTAAAGACACATATGGTAAATGAGTCAGTATCTACAGCATCTGCAACAACATACAATAAAAGTCATCATGTGAAAGTAATTAATAAAAAGAAGTCCTCACCTCTAATTTACATTCGTGGCTGACTCTGGCAATGCGACGAGCAATGTCCTGCATCTGTCTTAGTGGTCCTGACAATTCTTCACCCAACTTCGGAAGTTGTGAACTCTTCTCATCACACACAAATGTACTTAGTAATGCACAGGTCTGAGCAGCTGTTATAAAAACACAGAAAAACATTATTTTTCAGATTTCTAAGAATAACAATCTTTGGCAACACAATGAGCTGCACAAACCTGTTAGACTTCTACTTAGTCACTATTAACCCCTTGGATCTGTGTGACATGACTATCACCTCATGAAAAAATATGTGTCGAGGGGTGATGTGAGAAGAAGAAGAAGAAGAAGAAGAAGAAGAAGAAGAAGAAGAAGAAGAAGAAGAAGAAGAAGAAGAAGAAGAAGAAGAAGAAGAAGAAGAAGAAGAAGAAGAAGAAGAAGAAGAAGAAGAAGAAGAAGAAGAAGAAGAAGAAGAAGAAGAAGAAGAAGAAGAAGAAGAAGAAGAAGAAGAAGAAGAAGAAGAAGAAGAAGAAGAAGAAGAAGAAGAAGAAGAAGAAGAAGAAGAAGAAGAAGAAGAAGAAGAAGAAGAAGAAGAAGAAGAAGAAGAAGAAGAAGAAGAAGAAGAAGAAGAAGAAGAAGAAGAAGAAGAAGAAGAAGAAGAAGAAGAAGAAGAAGAAGAAGAAGAAGAAGAAGAAGAAGAAGAAGAAGAAGAAGAAGAAGAAGAAGAAGAAGAAGAAGAAGAAGAAGAAGAAGAAGAAGAAGAAGAAGAAGAAGAAGAAGAAGAAGAAGAAGAAGAAGAAGAAGAAGAAGAAGAAGAAGAAGAAGAAGAAGAAGAAGAAGAAGAAGAAGAAGAAGAAGAAGAAGAAGAAGAAGAAGAAGAAGAAGAAGAAGAAGAAGAAGAAGAAGAAGAAGAAGAAGAAGAAGAAGAAGAAGAAGAAGAAGAAGAAGAAGAAGAAGAAGAAGAAGAAGAAGAAGAAGAAGAAGAAGAAGAAGAAGAAGAAGAAGAAGAAGAAGAAGAAGAAGAAGAAGAAGAAGAAGAAGAAGAAGAAGAAGAAGAAGAAGAAGAAGAAGAAGAAGAAGAAGAAGAAGAAGAAGAAGAAGAAGAAGAAGAAGAAGAAGAAGAAGAAGAAGAAGAAGAAGAAGAAGAAGAAGAAGAAGAAGAAGAAGAAGAAGAAGAAGAAGAAGAAGAAGAAGAAGAAGAAGAAGAAGAAGAAGAAGAAGAAGAAGAAGAAGAAGAAGAAGAAGAAGAAGAAGAAGAAGAAGAAGAAGAAGAAGAAGAAGAAGAAGAAGAAGAAGAAGAAGAAGAAGAAGAAGAAGAAGAAGAAGAAGAAGAAGAAGAAGAAGAAGAAGAAGAAGAAGAAGAAGAAGAAGAAGAAGAAGAAGAAGAAGAAGAAGAAGAAGAAGAAGAAGAAGAAGAAGAAGAAGAAGAAGAAGAAGAAGAAGAAGAAGAAGAAGAAGAAGAAGAAGAAGAAGAAGAAGAAGAAGAAGAAGAAGAAGAAGAAGAAGAAGAAGAAGAAGAAGAAGAAGAAGAAGAAGAAGAAGAAGAAGAAGAAGAAGAAGAACTCTACACTCTGGCGAACCATGGCAGTGCGCCAAATTAGAGTGCGTGAGTTCGGTACATCAGACAGAATCAATGGCTCGCCGCCATGACGTACAGCCACACGCTATTTTTTGAGCGGTTTGTTTTCACGCCTAGCAGCGTTACCCGTCGTGAAGGGGTTAAGCTACACACCCTGGAAAGTTGCTATTCAAGTCAGCCTAATGCCTATATTTTGAGCCATGTGCAGGCAGAAGGGCACCTGGATCAAAATCTGGATTTATCAAAGTATACATCAAACAGAAACCACATAATACGGATACAAGATTTTATGGTACTACAGCAAGAAGCAATAACCCCTCAAGTAAGAAAAACTGTCCTGGGATCTAATCAATTCCCATTCTTAAAATTAATATGGGATAAATTTCACTGATTCTAGAGCTACCTGAGTGTCTGGGGAAGAAGGGGCTAGATAGGTATCACTAGGAATTTTCACTGGCAGTTCTGGCATGCATGCTGTTAATTTCTTAAATGACCAGGGGTGATGGAAGTGGTTGACTTTATTTTTTCTCTATACCCTCAAGAAAAAAGACAAAGTAGGAACCAATCCTCCAGTTTCTTCACCAATGACTATTTTTGTTTTAATTGCACAATACATGCTTTTCCTATAACTTATGGTAAACTCATTTTAAATAAATTTATGAAGTTGTAAACATGAGCGTGCACTGAAAGGAGAAATTACCACATTTTTGGAACAATGTCTAAAGACATATGGTAAATGAGTCAGTATCTACAGCACCTGCAACAACATACAATAAAAGTCATCATGTGAAAGTAATTAATAAAAAGAAGTCCTCACCTCTAATTTACATTCGTGGCTGACTCTGGCAATGCGACGAGCAATGTCCTGCATCTGTCTTAGTGGTCCTGACAATTCTTCACCCAACTTCGGAAGTTGTGAACTCTTCTCATCACACACAAATGTACTTAGTAATGCACAGGTCTGAGCAGCTGTTATAAGAACACAGAAAAACATTATTTTTCAGATTTCTAAGAATAACAATCTTTGGCAACACAATGAGCTGCACAAACCTGTTAGACTTCTCCTACTTAGTCACTATTAACCCCTTGGATCTGGGTGACATGACCATCACATGAAAAAATCTGGATCGAGGGGCGGGTGATGTGAACAGGAATATCTGGCTGTAGGCAGGGTGATGCGAACCTGCCGTTGTGAGCATTGTGGCTGAAGGCCAGGGTGATGGAAAAGACTTGCCACGAGGTTTATTTTACTCATTTGGCAATTTTGCATTATTCCCATTGATGTATGAGTGTGGAATGAAATGTATGTGAGCGGTGCCTGGAAGAACGCCAGTTCGATAGAGGACCCTATTTCCATGGCTCAGCATCACATTCCTCGTGCAATGAGCGGTGATGCAGTTTGTTTTACAGAAAATTTAATATTACTTAAAATTTAAAAAAATGGCAAAAGTAACAAAGCGTTACAGTTTTATTTTTCTTGCACTGAGTTGTAGACTACATTGAGAGATGATTGGTGTCCATGAAGAGAAAAAAAAAAAAAAAAAAAAAAAAAAAAAAAAAAAAAAAAAAACTCTACGCTCTAGCAAACAAAGGCGGTGTGAGTAGGGGACATCAGCCCGAATCACTGGCTCGCCACGCTTTGGTGGTGGCGTACAGCCGCACGCTAGCTTTCGAGCGGTTTGTTTGCACGCCGATCAGCGTCACCCGGCACCAAGGGGTTAACCTATTGCTGCCGGGGATGGCATGTATATACATGCCATGCCCACTGTGAGTCGACTTGTTTGATTGTTTTTACACATATATGGCTACACTTGTACTAAGTCACCAATGAGCCAATTATGAGTACTGCCTGTCTCGCCCGTTCACCCTTTTCATCGATTTATGAAAATATTTAACGCTATCCTAATTTGCTGTTAAAAATAACACCATCTATATTTATAGCACTAGTTAGAATACGTTTTTTCCCGCCAATTCAAGGAAAGGTGAAATCAGGACTAGCAGAGCCATCTATATACAGAGATATTTCACAAAAATATAAAATATGAGTACAGCATTTTCCTCATTTTTTGTTCACTTTCCCTGGTGGCAATGGGTTAACATCCCTCCAGTTATTTATGTCTCTTAAAAAAATTAATATGACAACTAATTTCATACTACAAACTCATCCTTTCCAAGGATTGGAGAAAGCCTTCTTTGATGGCAAGAAGAGACTGTTACCAAGAGTATAACCATCCTAACTTTAGACTGTTGCAGGACTCAAAACCATTTAGTTCTTGGTCCTAATTGCATCATCATAGGTAATTTAAGAAATGAAAAAAATATTAACAGCTTCTAGAACTCTTCTTTGAATTTATATCTTGTATCATTTTGCACTTTCAGAGAGTAGAAGAGTGCCATGACCTCTGGCAGTTTAAATAATAAAAACTCAAAATATCATTGATCGACTATAATTATCTTAACCCCTAATGTCCTATGCACCCAATCATGGCCAATCATAAAATGTTCATGGAAGGCCTGTCAAACACTGGCTTTATTCCAAAAAATGTGTGCAGTGTTCATTAACACATCTGGTGCTGTTTAGCAAGTTTTCATCAACCACACTCAACCCCACTACCTTATATACACTAAGTTGCCTCAGACAATAAACCAGTTGTTTTTTTTTCCCTTAATCTGTTTGTGATTGGAAAGTAGTGAGTATGAGGCAGTAATTCTGGTAATATATGATATATTTCATCCAGCCAAAATCTTGATCTTTTCCTTTCCATACATTCCCTGTTCACACACCTCATCATGCTATTGAGTTACTCTCCTGGTATATCATGTTTTTGCTATCTATACATCTAGATACTTATAAATATCTCTAAGTACACACTTCACTCTTGATTTATATGGGACAAAAAGTAATCTTTCAGTCACACACAAGAGGTAACTTGATAACATTTTAAACACATGCTGTATTTGAGAAATAACAATGAAATATACATTTTCAAGTACATAAAATGGAGTTATAGCCAAGAAAAATCAAATTCAAAATAACTTTCCTACTTTCTTTAAAATAAAAGTAATACATCGCTTTCAACTAACCTCCATCTTTTTCGCGAATGCCTCGCATAATCTGTCTCGCGCAGGATCAGTGTGTAGTTTGTGGGAATTCAATCTGGCTTTGAACTTCTCCAGCTTGGACATGACCTCTAGGAAGGCCTCATCCTTAATTTTCATGTTCTTCACTGGGTCAAGCAGGAACTGGTTCTCCGGGACACGCCTCAATGCCTCCTGTGGATGTAACATTTTACTGTGATGTTTGCCTGTTGATGTACACATGCACTATAGTTTTGTTTTATTATTTTCTTTTACACACGGATTAGTCCGCAAGCCTGTAACTACCAGTGTCAATTACTGAACTTGCCTGACCATACCTATTTCAACCCACTGAATTTTTTGGAAAAAAGGTTTATTTTTACCATTTTTAAACAACAACAATAATAATAATAATAAAAAAATTATATATATAATAAAAATAATAATTATAAAGATGATAATAATCATAACAATGGGAATAACAACAATAATAATGGTAATAATCACAATAAAAATAGAAGGAATTTGTGATGACTAAGCAATTGTAGAACCATCTGTTTCAGAAAAAAACATAGGGGACAGTGCATTTTCCATGTGATAATAAGTTAATCTGTTTTATATGAATTTCATAAGGAACAAACCTCTGTATAGGTATTTTCTATAGAATCAAATGTTTAATGTGAACAAGTTATACAATTATTGAATCCATAAACACAAGTTATTAGAAGAAGAAGAAGACGAAAAATTCACAAAGGGGTGACTGAGAAGCAAGATGGAGATGATGATGGCAATGTGAAGGGGAGAGAGAAGAAAAAACAAGCGAGGAATAAAACAAGACGCTAACTTACATCCACCATCTTCACGACCATGATGCGCTGATCCAAGGGCTTTAAGTCACTTGGAAGCTTCAGTCTTACAGCTGATAAATCTTGGATGACTTTCACCATCACTGTCATGACCACTGGTTCACTCTTTTCCCCTGGTTTGGGAGGCTTAAGATCTGAAGTCACCTGAAAAAAACATAATATTGCAATATATATATAAAGGAAAGGAAAGGAAAGAAAAACAAAAAGGAAGAAGTATATATTTACAGAAGTTTTAGTGGTATGATTATATTACAAAAAATACACTTATGAAATCAACAAATCTGCAATACAATAACCAGCTATTTAATTGCTATACAATAAGCAGTTTTATGAAAAAAAAGAAATAAACTAACAACACTGTAGAAGCAGATGAAATAAACATACAAAGAAAAAGATGAGTATACAAACCTTTTTTGCTGCCGATTCCTCAGACACTCGTAAAATGATGTCCACTGTTACTGAAGGTGGTTTTAAAGGATCTTTCTTGTTTTCTTGCTTCTTGTAACTCAACACAACACCCCAACCAAAGTCATCGTCATTGTTTTTAACCTGGAGTATGAAATAATTCAAGTGTTAATCTATTGCTAAAGAGAGAAAAATGACTGTATGATGGATTAATTTCTAAATGGATATGGTAAATATCAACTGACCATTAATATTCTAATGAAAAATATCTCCATATAAATATCTGTTGCTTATACTGTACAGAAAATTTTAGATACAGTAAACAAACAAACAAGTAAATAAAAAACTTGTCCAAACAATGCTTTGACCTGAAATTTGGATCAACTGGTTGATCTCAAAAATTTAGCGACAGGCACTCACTCTGACAAGTCTCCCAGGCTGCAGGAAGGGTAAGATGTATGTGTATCTGGTAATGAAGCTGTGTCTTTCCTTCAAGAGGTTCTCAATGGTCTGCTGCAACTTGTAATAACTCTCCACCTCCGACTCCCTCTCTATGACCATAGAAGCAAGCTCGTCTTCTCCCTCGCTCACACCTTTAAGAGAAATAAGTCATAATCCCTTGGGAAATCAATTCAATCATTTTGAAATTAAGGAAATAAAAGGCATCACTGAAAATATGACATATGAGGACTCTAAAACCACAGTACAATCTGCCATCTTGGTTTAAACCTAGTTCTGAGTGTGTTTATCTCTTCCTGGAGAGCTAATTTTGTAGATCTCATGGGTTTTGCAAAGTAGTCAAAATTCACCTTTATTTATTAACTCAGTGTTGGTGGGAACATGTAATGTCCAATGTTGTTTTATTTTGTGAAATTTGTTTACACATAGATGGCTTTTCAAGTGCTCATCTCCAAGGAGTTTATTAGTAGGCACACACACACACACACGCACACACACATACACATACACACACACACACACACACACTCTCTCTCTCTAGGTTAACCCAATGGCGCCGGGGGTACAAAACAAAACAAAAAAAAACTCTACGCCCCAGCAAACAAAGGCAGCGCGCCGACTTTGAGCACATGAGTAGGGGACATCAGCCCGAATCACTGGCTCGCCGCCGCGGCGTACAGCCGCACGCCAGCTTTCGAACAATTAATTTCTAAATAGATATGGTAAATATCAACTGACCATTAATATTCTAATGAAAAATATCTCCAATATAAATATCTGTTGCTTATAGTGTACAGAAAATTTTAGATACAGTAAAAAAACAAACAAGTAAACAAAAAACTTGTCCAAACAATGCTTTGACCTGAAATTTGGATCAACTGGTTGATCTCAAAAATTTAGCGACAGACACTCACTCTGACAAGTCTCCCGGGCTGCAGGAAAGGTAAGATGTATGTGTATCTGGTTATGAAGCTGTGTCTTTCCTTCAAGAGGTTCTCAATGGTCTGCTGCAGCTTGTAGTAACTCTCCACCTCCGACTCCCTCTCTATGACCATAGAAGCAAGCTCGTCTTCTCCCTCGCTCACACCTTTAGGAGAAATAAGTCATAATCCCTTGGGAAATCAATTCAATCATTTTGAAATTAAGGAAATAAAAGGCATCACTGAAAATATGACATATGAGGACTCTAAAACCACAGTACACACATACACACACACTCTCTCTCTCTAGGTTAACCCAATGGCGCCGGGTGTACAAAACAAAAAAAAAAAAAAAACTCTACGCCCTAGCAAACAAAGGCAGCGCGCCGACTTTCAGCGCATGAGTAGGGGACATCAGCCCGAATCACTGGCTCGCCGCGGCGTACAGCCGCACGCCAGCTTTCGAAAGGTTTGTTTTCACACCGATTTGTGTCACCTGGCGTTAAGGGGTTAAAGGTATACCTGTTTGCTTGTCTTGGCTGTACCCTGTGGAAGATTCATGTCTACAATACTTTCCATTAGTCCTCCAAACATCTTACCAAACTAATGAGAGGTCAACTGTATAAACTCCTTTGGTTTAGAATGACACATACCTTTGGCACAAGAGTATTTGCAACTTTAAGTACATATTTTTTGTTACATAATTATGAAAAAGATAATGGGAAATCTGTAATAATTCCAAAGTTAAGATACTTTGAAAATCTAGAAACTCTAAATATTATTTCTCAGTTTTGGTTCATACCATGTGGTTTTCATTTAACCATTCTTTATCTATTACTTACGGTCACAAAGCGATGGAATGGAGGAATAATTCTGGAACTGGAAGAAAGATCTCTCCAGGATGTACTCTGGGTTGATCTGTTCCACACGCAGCAGGTTCAGTACCATGTTGTATGTCAGATGGAAAGCAGAGTTGATGGGGTCTGCTTTTCCCTGAAGGTGTAAATATAAAAACTTTTCAGACTGAAGAATAACAAAATCATGCTTAAAGATACTAACACAGAGACATACACTTTTAAACATTAAGATCCTATAAAATTAAAGCATTTGGAGCAATGGAATTTCCCCAAAAAGAAGAACACAGAAAATGAAATAACAGAAGAGAATAATATGATCTTAATAATGCATTCATTGCTTTCATAACTGAGAGCACCCAAGTTATGAACTTGTAAGTCTAAATATATGTTCAAGATAAACAGAGACCAAAGGAAAAGAGAATTCATACTTTAGCAGCAAGAGCAAAAACGGTTCATACCTGCACTAGATTCTTGACAACGGCCGTGTTCAGTTTCTCATCTACCATCATGATGACAATACCTTTGTCATCCTTTCCTCTTCTACCAGCTCGACCTGACATCTGGATGTATTCTCCTGAAGTCAGCTGAAATTGTTACCCCAAGACAATGATTTTAATGGAAAGAAGTGCTAATATAAATAATAATTAACTCTTCAAAATAGAAAGAAAAGAAAGAAGAGAAAAAACTGCCTGCAAATAATACTTGCATTCTTTGGCTTGGCTTCAAATTCCTTTACAGAAAACTTCTCAACCCTTAGGAAAATCAAAAAACCCAAAGAACTAACCCATCTGAAATCTCTGCCATCAAACTTGCGAATGGAGGTGAACAGGACGGTCCTGGCAGGCATGTTAAGTCCCATGGCGAAGGTCTCGGTTGCAAATAAACACTTGATCAAACCTTCTCCGAACAAGATCTCAATTGTCTCCTTGATGATAGGCAGCAGACCTGTGTAAGTAGATGGTAACTTTATCGGTAACTACAGTCTTTACAGTTTGCCAGATACCTTTAAGAATATTTCATGATGAGTAATAATTAGTAAAGAAACTACTTCACAAAAGTTTTAAATATTTTAAAGAAAATGTGCAATGACAACTATGAAACACAAATAATCTTAATCCCCTAAAAACAGGTCACTCTCTTAACACAAAGCTCACCTCCATGATGGATACCAATGCCTCTCTTGAGTAGCGGCAACACTGACACCACCTGCGGGAGCTCACGGTCTTCTTCCGAGAGGAGAGCAATGGCGTTCTGGAACACCTCATTCACCAGCTGCTTCTCGTCAGCAATGTTGAAGTCCAGCTTTGACATCTGCAGTGCGTAAGCCTCACACTCCTTCTTGGAGAAGCTGAAGATGATGACAGGTGCAAAGTTTCTCTCCATGATCATCTTGACGATCTTGAAGCAATCAGAACTCCCCTTGGCTGCAGCTCCTTTCCCCTTGGACCCGGATTCCGGCTGAAAGGTTATAGATTAGTAATATAACTGTGTAAAAGAGAATTACCGTTGTTATAGATAAACTGGTGCTTATCCCTAACATCTAGCTATGGTTGAAAGAAATATGAAAAAGAAGCAAGCAAGAAAGATGAAAAAACAAAGCAAGAGAAGAAAATAGAGAGAAAAAAAAGTAAAAATAGGAAATAGAAGTATAACTGAGAAATAAAACAAAAAAGGATAACAGAAAAATGAGAGGGAAAAAAAAAAAAAAAATTAATTACCTGTTCTGGTGCATCTTGCAGGATGGCCATAGCTGTGTTAAAGTTGTCTTCCCTAAACTTGCCCAACTCATCCACAGCCAAGTAGATACCCTCTCCTCCGGCTGGAAAGATGTAATGTTGAAGTGGTGTTGGTCTGTAGTCAGTGTACACCACATGGCAAGGCTGGTGGTGAAGGTAACAAATCCACTGGGCAAACTGAAAACAAAAATAACATGAAAATACCATAAATAATATATATATTTTTTAATGATTTTTAATATGGCAATGCATAAGTTGGTTTGAAGGTAGATTTAGCATAACTTTTATTATCACTATCACAGTACAGAAATATATCAAAGGAAGAAGACACCCACCTGACTGGCATTGGGGATGGTTGCAGACAAAAATACAAAATGCACTGTGGATGGCAGAAGAATGAGTGTCTCTTCCCAAACATATCCTCTTTCCTTGTCTCTCATGTAATGGATCTCATCAAATATGACCCAGCCCACCTCTCTCGTCACCTCTGAACCTCTATAAAGCATGGAACGCAGAATCTCGGTGGTCATAATGAGGCAGGAAGCATTTGGGTTGATGGTCACATCTCCTGTCAGAAGGCCGACATCTGTGAACTCATCGCTGAAGTCACGGTACTTCTGGTTACTCAGGGCCTTGATTGGGGTTGTATAGATGACTCTCTGTTTGTTATGCAAGCACATGGCTATTGCATATTCTGCTACCACAGTCTTACCAGCAGATGTGTGGGCAGAAACTAACACTGACTGATTGTTGTCAATGCAAAGTATAGCTTCTTTCTGGAATGGATCTAGTATAAATGGGTACACCTTTGCTGGCTTTTCGCTTGGTGGCTGGAGTGGAATGTAGGTCTCACCAGGGGGTACTGCTACTTCATGAGTACATGCCTCTACTGTCTCAATGATGTGAACTGCTATTCTGGGCATATCTTCTGTTAACCTGAAAATATTATGACCATAAACTCAGAGGATGAACAATAGTTCTGTTACTCTTATTACACAGTCAAACAAAAGATAAAATAATATGACTAGTAAATACTAAAGAAGGATACTGCTAATCTAAATTTCCATGAAAGATGATATAACTTCCTTCTAAGGAATAATAATAAAAAATAACTAACTAACTAACTAATATCAGGTTACATGATCAACTTATGTGCCCCTTTCCATGACTTTCTTTATTAAATTCTAAATTGTAAACAACAATCTTGTCACATCATCATCTTTTCTGATCTTAGGAGGAACTCTTCTGACGTTCTATGTAGAAAGCCATCAAAGAAATGTACTAAATAAAAACTTTCAATTACATGTTATACTCACTTCATTTGTGTCTCAGATGCATCAGCAACTGCTCTGGCTTTCTTTATCACCTGTTTATCGGCATCTTCTGATGAACGTTTCTTCCCCAACAGCTGATTAAGTTCTTGTGCTGCCCTGTGAATTAAGTTTTGTTCAACTTAATGCTCTGGTTTCTCTTCCTATATCTAAATTCCTCTGAAATCATTCTCTTTAAAACTCAGAACTGGAAATCTAAATGCCTTAACACAAGACCTGAGGTGGTGTTCATAAAAGGTCTATGGCTGTTCTTTCGTCTCTGACTTCTGCTGTTGTCACTTATTAATGCTACTGGTGCAAGTCAGAATAGGCATTTGCATTGATGAAGATCCCATGATGATAATGAATTCTAATACTGCCATGAAATACATGCTGCAATAACTCTAGCATATATTATGGGAATTATTTTACACATTTTATATTTACATGTAAATATGGCACTTTATACATCTGTCATTGCATCATCAGAGGTGTATCTTTTATATACCACATTGCAGTTGAGATGTAGCAAATAACTCAATTAGTTTTTGAATATAAATCAAAAGGGACCTCCAAGTTTCCCTTTATCTGTCTTTGACTCCTTAGGAGAATCACCTCAATGGCTGACCTTTGTCCAACTCCTTTGAAATTTGAGATGTTAGAACATTATGGCTGGAAGGTATGGTTTACTACTTATGGCTTTCTGAATCTGAAATAAAACTGGAGACTGCTTACTCCAACTTATTATATCAATTTTACTGATGGTCATACCTGCCCTAGACAATGCAAGATGTAAATTTTCATTATTCTTGTGTCAACTCTACAATCTTCATCTTTATTATGATGACTGTCAAACTAAAACTTCAATAATTTATTCTCATCCATTCCTTTTCCAACGGTTACACTCTTCTCGGTTCACCATTGGTAAACATAAATTAAAATCAATAGTATTAGTATATTGACCACTGATACAGCTCGAATCACACAAGCTATGACTTTCAACTGACATGTTGATTCCTAGATTTTGATACATGACAGTGGGGTTACCTAAGCTGCTTTGCTTTTCAGATTATATTTTACATCTAACAATGTTGTCTCATGTGTATTATGTGTTGTCTTCTTTATAATAGGCACCTTACTTTTTCTCTATCTCTTTGCATTCTTGTCATAAATAATGGATATACAAGAGGAAATGGAATTTTAGTAAACAAAGATGATATGCTACTAAATTGGAAGAACTCTATATAGACTAATCAACAGTCAAATATAAAGTATTCCCACACACCTCACAACCAAGTCCAGCCTTCCCCTGACTTGCAACTAGTAAGTTACCCAGGGTGTTAAAAGTTTTTGGGTATGTAGGTCATAAAGTCTTGACCAGTCATTATCACTCTCCTAAAAAGACCCTAAACTTTAAATTAATTTCTCTGTTTCAACACATATTTATTTAATTTACATACCATAAATGTCTTGCCTTGTATATTATTGCTTTCACATACCTTTATTTATTGTATATAATTGTTACACTTCTATATTGTGCGTGTCTAATTATCTCTCAACAAATCTGACAGTTCTGTCGTCATAGTGCTCACTACACCTGTCATGTGCAGAATCTGTTAACCCCTGGGGTGCTGAAAGCCAGAGCAATGGGAATCTCTCGTAACGAGTGAACAAAGATCTTGGAGGGTGATTAGACTCAGGAGGAATTTAGGAAGGGGTTCTTCCATTATTTCTACTAATAAATGAGTATCAAACATGTCATTTGGGAGCTATGACTGGAAGAGTGCCAGTCCCTGGGTGGATACTATTTCTATGCTGAGTATCATATTCCTGTCAACTGTGACTGGCAGCACAGGGTCTCTTACAGAAAACTGAATATTATAAAAATATATATAAATTACAAAAATAACAAAATGTTTCTTATTGTTGTAAATGCACCAAGTTAGACTACCTAGAGAGTTGATATGGGGTCTGTACAAGGAAAGCAGTATATTACCATCTTGATACAGCATATCAAATGGCAAATTTGGACCTTGG